GGACTCTTTAAAGTAGAGACACTACATACTGATATACACCTGAACATCAGCAGGAGAGGACTCTTTAAAGTAGAGACACTACATACTGATATACACCTGAAAATCTGCAGGAGAGGACTCTTTAAAGTAGAGATGCTACATACTGATATACACCTGAACATCAGCAGGAGAGGACTCTTTAAAGTAGAGACACTACATACTGATATACACCTGAACATCAGCAGGAGAGGACTCTTTAAAGTAGAGACACTACATACTGATATACATCTGAACATCAGCAGGAGAGGACTCTTTAAAGTAGAGACACTACATACTGATAGACACCTGAACATCAGCAGGAGAGGACTCTTTAAAGTAGAGACACTACATACTGATATACACCTGAACATCAGCAGGAGAGGACTTTTTAAAAATGTTCATAGCCAAAAATGTAATTTAAACTATAATATAATTGATATTGGGATGAGTATAAGTATAACATACATTCCTATCGTAATGAGTAATATATGTGTATCTCTAGATACTGCTGATACGTCTATGATTCCTATCCTCAGAACTCGCCTCCATACATCTAACAATCAGAGATCTAATTTAAACAGCCGCTCAGCGGGATTATTCATGAGGTTTGTTTGAAGTTCAACAGTTTCATTTTGCACGCGTGGGACCTGATTTTCAAAAGGTAGATGGGGATGAATTAACGAGGAAGCTGTGATTGATTTAAATATGCACATAGGTTTCCTCTTCCTGGGACACGCAAGTCCTTTTTAACCAAAAGAGAAATGTCTTCAAAGAACATATTAGACTTGTTTTAATCCACATTAGAGGAACTACATGCAGCTGAAACTCTTTTCTCTTTCATGTTTGAACTCATTGTCTCACGTCAGGCTATGTAATTACACGTTCTGCATCTCATGGCTGGTACCGTCTAAATCATTTTTCAGGAAGTAGCATATCCCCAGATCTTTCTGCACGACTGAAGGTACAATATGTCAGAAATGATTACATTGTTCTACCAAAAACACATTATAGCAGTGAACACAACAAACAGGACGTATGTCAAGGCCAACGGTGCCTTCACCCGCTGCTCGGATATTCCCTTTCTTCTGACTTCTTGTTCTGGTTCTTCTTGTTCCGGTTCTGGTTCTTCTTGTTCCGGTTCTTCTTGTTCTGGTTCTTCTTGTTCTGGTTCTTCTTGTTCCGGTTCTTCTTGTTCTGGTTCTTCTTGTTCTGGTTCTTCTTGTTCCGGTTCTTATGGTTCTGGTTCTTCTTGTTCCGGTTCTGGTTCTTCTTGTTCCGGTTCTTATGGTTCTGGTTCTTCTTGTTGTGGTTCTGCTTCTTGTTCCTCCCCTGGTTTTCTGGTCTGTTCTTCTAGTTCTGGTTCCCCTTGTTCTGGTTCTTCTTCTTCGTTGTCTTTCTTCTGGTTCTTGTTCTTGTTCTGGTTCTTCTTGTTCTGGTTCTTGTTCTTCTTCCAGTTCTTCTTGTTCTGGTTCTGCTTCTTGTTCGTCCTCTGGTTCTTCTTCTTGTTCGTCCTCTGGTTCTTCTTCTGGTTCTTCTTCTTGTTCTGGTTCTTCTTGTTCCTCTTCTGATTCGTGTTCCTCTTCTGGTTCTTCTTCCAGTTCTTCTGGTTCTTCTGGTTCTTCTGGTTCTGGTTCTTCTTCTTCTGGTTCTGCTTCTTCTTCCTCTTATAGTTCTTGTTCTGGTTCTTCTTGCCCTTTTTCTCCCTATTCTTCTCCCCCCTCTTTCTCTTTCTCCTCCTTCTTCTTGTTGTATTCTCCGCCTACCACTACCTACTGTATGAAACTCTAGCACTGCTCTAGACCAGTGTTTCTCAAACTCTTTCATACCAAGGACCACTTAACCAATAAAAAAACACTCGCGGACCACTTAACTCCACAAATATCCAAAAACACATCGTTTTTTACAAATCGCCTGAAAATTGTACAAACAAGTGGCAACATGTGTGATGATGGTGCTTATCTGGGCTATATCATGCAATCGAAAGTGAAACTTAAGCTCGTTCCATTGCGGAGATATTCCCGCGAGAGTGCGAAAAACTTAAATAAATGTATTTATTTAAAATGTGAAATTTTACCAATATACTCACGGACCACTAGGGGGCGCTCACGGACCACCAGTGGTCCGCGGACCACACTTTGAGAAGCACTGCTCTAGACCCACTATATCTCTCTATTATCATCCAACATTGATCCCCAGAAAAACCTCAGTGATGTTTGGATCCAGTCATGATCTCATTGTTGATGTTTCTTATGATCAGTGTTGGAGCCCCTTGTTTTCCGAGAGTCCCGGTCGAGCCCCTCCTCCATCAATAAGGATTGAGGACTGATGCCCCCCCCCCTCCCCCACCCCCGCTGTCAGCAGACACTAACAGTTGTCAGCTCTTCGTCTAATGAACTTGTGCGCTACGGAAAATGTTTTGTATTGATTACCTGCTCTGCTTCTCAAGCCCCAGCAGACAAATGGTCTTTCTTATCAACGGTGAGGAAACAGTCAGTGAGAGTAATAGAGGCTGGGGGGGGTCAGGGGGGGATAACTGCAGCTCCGGGGTCACACACACACACACACACACACACACACACACACACACACACACACACACACACACACACACACACACACACACACACACACACACACACACACACACACACACACACACACACACACACACACACACACACACACACACACACACACACACACACACACACACACACACACACACACACACACACACACACACACACACACACACACACACACACACACACACACACACAGAGATGCTCTCTCTCTCTCACACTGTAACTGAAAAATGTGTCCAATCCAGCAGAATGGATGGCGGTGGGTCTGAAAACATCAGTTCAATTGTGCCATGGATTAAGCCTGGGAGAAAATCCATTAGCAGCGGCTGCCGGTGCTCCGGAGCACAAACCCAAACAAAGGAGTGTTTACTTTGAATGCCTATCGACATCCTTCATACAGCCTCAAATTCATTTCAGCCGCGCGCTGGATACACGGCGCTCAAAGACCCGAACAAGGTAGAGTGTTTTCTGAAGCAATCTTTAAATGGAGCAATTCTTCTGGAGGGCTGTCACGGCAAACACAGACCTCTGAAATCGACCGGACGTCAGCGCCTGAGTCACTCTTTCTACAAACCGAATTCCTCTGCTGGATGTGAACGTGAGTCAATGAAGGCGGAGGAAATTAAGTGGTTCTTGAAATGTGACGACGAACCGCAGAGAGGATGGAAACGGTAATGTGCACAGGCTCAGGGAGTAATGGGATAATCAGGATACAAAGGACTGTATTCCCAGTTACATTAAGTAAGTAAGTCATGTATTTATGAAGCGTGTTTCCCAGACATAGTCACAAAGTACTTGACAAAGCATTACAACATAATAAAAGATTAAATGACCACACAAGCCACGTGTTAAGAAGTGCTAAAAACACAATACACAATAAAAACACAATACAAACATAGAATACAATAGAATAGAAGCACACAAGTTACCCAAATTAATATCATAAATCCTGCACAACATGCTGCTCCACACCACCTCCCTCACAACCTGCACAATTATCCACTTTAAATATAGTGTTTGTCATATTTCATTATATTTTACTGTACTCAAGTTGCATTTTACAGATTTTTTAGGAATTTATTTCTTAACTCTTTGTTAATATTTTGGATGTTTTCACCTTTTTGTAACTAAAACTGTTATATTTATGCATACAGTAAAATACACCCTTTCCCTCTAAAATGTAGTAAATTAGAAGTATTAAGTAGTATTAAATGGAAATACGCTGTGTTGTTGAATATGTAATAATGTAAATATTGTCTTTAATATTATTTTGTTGCTACGTATTCTTCTTTCTGTGTTTTTGCATGCACCAAAGCCAATTCCTTGTATGTGTAAATATACCTATACGATTCTGATTCTGTCTTATTCGGGTCAAATCTGACTGATTTACTACTTTCATCAATCATAAATATTGTGTGCTTTACATTGTATTGCCTTAATGCCAGAGGCGAACCGTCAGGGCCTTCAAGGTATTCAGAGAATACCCTGGAACACTCAGATAAAACAAACAACACATCGATTTAATTATATAAATAAAATGTAATAAAATGCATATCAAATGAATAAATGAGAACGGTATCTGTGTTGTTGATCTGTAATATTACAGTGGTACGTTAATTTGTTTGTCCTTCTCGGACCATGCTCTACGCATTTCAGTGGTTTTGTGTTAGGAAAGCAACCAATCAGATCTTGTTCTGGGTCTCTGGGTAGAATATCCTTCAACAAGGTATTCTACATCCTTGATAGAATGCCCTGGCCGTTGCTCTGAATGAGAGCGTACGTTTGGACTGACAGTTTGATCAACCAATCATATATTGATTTGTAGCCAATGGGCGTATTCTTTCAGAGTTTCCCTCGGTTCCAGGGTGCTCTAGAAGGCCCGCTAGTTAACTGGCTCGAGACAGAGGATCTAGAACGAATGCGACGAAGCAATTCATGCCGTTTTATTGTTTTTAACATTGAAATGACAAGTGCAACAGGTGAAGATGAAGTTGTTGCGGAATTGTTGTGAGTACCCTTTTCAAGACGACAATTCAGTGAAAAGACGGACATTATAATGGGGGGGGGGGGGCGTGTGTGTCTACAGAAGGTCCAGTTGTGATAGACACGGTTCGCCACTGCTCAATGCCTTATGATATCCTCCACAGTAGGCATTTAAACATATACAATAGCTTTAGTCAACTTTGTAACTCCTATGGTGACTGCCATAGGAAGTGAACTGGTTTAAATGACACCCACAAATAGACAACCAACATGTCAGATTACTAGCAGTAATCTATGTTGTTCTTAGGTACAATACTTGAGTAAATGTACTTAAGATTTGTAGTTTGTAGTAGAAATGTGTTGATGATTATGTGGGAAAGTAACTATAAAGTGTGTAATCTGAGGCAGACTCACTTGTTGGTCCTCTCCTGGTTGTATTTACACCGCAGGTCCAGCAGCTCTGTCTGTGCAGCGTTCAGAGCTGAGAGAGAGAGGAAACGATTACAATTAAAAACACTAAATACTTTTAATAATCAGCTCTGAGCTATCTGCAAGATGCAAGACTTTTATGACACTTGCATGTATTCAAATTCACATTTTTATGCTCAATTTTGTAGAATCTGATGTGAAATATAATCAAGTGTTGAATCAGACTTTAGTTCCACCTGGAGTAAATCCACCAGCTACCCTGCAGTATACAAAGTCATTCAAACTAGCTGCACCTTCACCAGCTTTGAGAACACTTTCATGATCAATCATTATAAAACATATATATATATTATTCTGAAATGGACCAATCTGCACAACGACTACTTTTACTGTCTTTAACTATATTTAGATGAGAATACTTTCCTACTTTCACTTGAGGAACATTTTGAATGCAGGACTTTTACTGAAACAGAGTATTCCTACACTCTGGTACTTCTACTTTTACTCAAGCACAAGATCTGAGTACTTCTACTTTTACTCAAGTACAAGATCTGAGTACTTCTACTTTTACTCAAGTACAAGATCTGAGTACTTCTAATTGTACTCAAGTACAAGACCTGAGTACTTCTACTTTTACTCAAGTACAAGATCTGAGTACTTCTACTTTTACTCAAGAACAAGATCTGAGTACTTCTACTTTTACTCAAGCACAAGATCTGAGTACTTCTACTTTTACTCAAGTACAAGACCTGAGTACTTCTACTTTTACTCAAGAACAAGATCTGAGTACTTCTACTTTTACTCAAGTACAAGATCTGAGTACTTCTACTTTTACTCAAGTACAAGATCTGAGTACTTCTACTTTTACTCAAGTACAAGATCTGAGTACTTCTACTTTTACTCAAGTACAAGATCTGAGTACTTCTACTTTTACTCAAGTACAAGATCTGAGTACTTCTACTTTTACTCAAGTACAAGATCTGAGTACTTCTACTTTTACTCAAGTACAGGATCTGAGTACTTCTACTTTTACTCAAGTACAGGATCGGAGTACTTCTACTTTTACTCAAGTACAGGATCAGAGTACTTCTACTTTTACTCAAGTACAAGATCTGAGTACTTCTACTTTTACTCAAGTATAAGATCTGAGTACTTCTACTTTTACTCAAGTACAGGATCTGAGTACTTCTACTTTTACTCAAGTACAGGATCGGAGTACTTCTACTTTTACTCAAGTACAAGATCTGAGTACTTTTACTTTTACTCAAGTACAAGATCTGAGTACTTCTACTTTTACTCAAGTACAGGATCTGAGTACTTCTACTTTGACTCAAGTACCAGATCTCAGTACTTCTACTTTGACTCAAGTACCAGATCTCAGTACTTCTACTTTGACTCAAGTACCAGATCTCAGTACTTCTACTTTGACTCAAGTACCAGATCTCAGTACTTCTACTTTGACTCAAGTACCAGATCTCAGTACTTCTACTTTGACTCAAGTACCAGATCTCAGTACTTCTACTTTGACTCAAGTACCAGATCTCAGTACTTCTCCCACCTCTGGTTCTGACTCAGGTAAAAAGTGTTGATTTGAGTTGAAGGTCATGACTTCAAAGCAGTAATCAAACACACCACGGCTCAGGTTCAATTGAAATCTCATTTTAAAATGTAACTTTGCTCACATGAATGCAGGACTTTGATCTTCTCCTTGGCCTCTGATAGTCGGTCAGACAATCCAACGTTAGCGCTCTCCTCTTCGTCCCTGAGAGGAAACACTCAGTTACTCTCAGCTTTGGGGAGTAATGGATTACATGCAGGGTGGGGAGGGGTTACTGAGTATCACAATATAAGAAATGTAACCTGATTACTTTCTGTTCCTGAGATACAGACTTAGGACAGTCCTAGTCCTACAGTAATGTTTTTCCGTGGCGGACCACATTTTTGCCTTTAACTCCGGAAGGGAAGGTCGGACAGACTTGGGAGTTGGTGCCGTCTGAATTAATTCAGGAGTGCTGAACACACTGATTATGTCCCCGAGTCTCTACGACCTTCCGTTCCAGAGATACATACAGTGGGGCAAAAAAGTATTTAGTCAGCCACCAATTGTGCAAGTTCTCCCACTTAAAAAGATGAGAGAGGCCTGTAATTTTCATCCTAGGTACACTTCAACTATGAGAGACAGAATGGGGGGAAAGAATCCAGGAAATCACATTGTAGGATTTTTAATGAATTAATTGTTAAATTCCTCGGTAAAATAAGTATTTGGTCACCTACAAACAAACAAGATTTCTGGCTCTCACAGACCTGTAACTTCTTCTTTAAGAGCCTCCTCTGTCCTCCACTCGTTAACTGTATTAATGGCACCTGTTTGAACTCGTTATCAGTATAAAAGACACCTGTCCACAACCTCAAACAGTCACACTCCAAACTCCACTATGGCCAAGACCAAAGAGCTGTCAAAGGACACCAGAAACACAATTGTAGACCTGCACCAGGCTGGGAAGACTGAATCTGCAATAGGTAAGCAGCTTGGTGTGAAGAAATCAACTGTGGGAGCAATTATTAGAAAATGGAAGACATACAAGACCACTGATAATCTGCCTCGATCTGGGGCTCCACGCAAGATCTCACCCCGTGGGGTCAAAATGATCACAAGAACGGTGAGCAAAAATCCCAGAACCACACGGGGGGACCTAGTCAATGACCTGCAGAGAGCTGGGACCAAAGTAACAAAGGCTACCATCAGTAACACACTACGCCGCCAGGGACTCAAATCCTGCAGTGCCAGACGTGTCCCCCTGCTTAAGCCAGTACATGTCCAGGCCCGTCTGAAGTTTGCTAGAGAGCATTTAGATGATCCAGAAGAGGATTGGGAGAATGTCATATGGTCAGATGAAACCAAAATAGAACTTTTTGGTAAAAACTCAACTAGACGTGTTTGGAGGAGAAAGAATGCTGAGTTGCATCCAAAGAACACCATACCTACTGTGAAACATGGGGGTGGAAACATCATGCTTTGGGGCTGTTTTTCTGCAAAGGGACCAGGACGACTGATCCGTGTAAAGGAAAGAATGAATGGGGCCATGTATCATGAGATTTTGAGTGACAACCTCCTTCCATCAGCAAGGGCATTGAAGATGAAACGTGGCTGGGTCTTTCAGCATGACAATGATCCCAAACACACCGCCCGGGCAACGAAGGAGTGGCTTCGTAAGAAGCATTTCAAGGTCCTGGAGTGGCCTAGCCAGTCTCCAGATCTCAACCCCATAGAAAATCTTTGTAGAGAGTTGAAAGTCTGTGTTGCCCAGCGACAGCCCCAAAACATCACTGCTCTAGAGGAGATCTGCATGGAGGAATGGGCCAACATACCAGCAACAGTGTGTGAAAACCTTGTGAAGACTTACAGAAAACGTTTGACCTCTGTCATTGCCAACAAATGGTATATAACAAAGGATTGAGATGAACTTTTGTTATTGACCAAATACTTATTTTCCACCATAATTTGCAAATAAATTCTTTAAAAATCAGACAATGTGATTCTCTGGATTTTTCTTTCTCATTCTGTCTCTCATAGTTGAGGTATACCTAGGATGAAAATTACAGGCCTCTCATCTTTTTAAGTGGGAGAACTTGCACAATTGGTGGCTGACTAAATACTTTTTTGCCCCACTGTACATACATAGGAAAAGTCTGTTACAGTCCTAACTGTAAACACTTCATCACCCACTAAAAGCAAATGTTCTCTTATATTTGATCAGTTACTCTCAGGTTAGGGGAGTCATGGATTACGATAACACTTTAATGGCCAGATCAAGTATGAAATATGACTTGCATCACAGCACTTGCATCTCCATGTGTAACAGCAACAGACAAACATCAAGATACAACACATGAACAACAAAATTTAACATACCATCACAATCAGTGAGAGAAAACCTGCTCTAAGAGCCTGCAGATTACATGCAGTGATGGGAGGTGACTCAGACTAGACTATGACTAGTTACCTGTACAAATGTAATCAGTAACCTAATCTGAGTATCCCAATATAAGTAACCTGATTACTTTCTGTCACTTCACTTCATCTCTTATATTTCAGCAGGGTTTCTGTGGTTCTCACCCTCGGTCCTGGTGGTTCTGCTGCGGGGACTCGGAGGCCCCGGGGCCCGGCGTGCTGTTGGGCGTCATCAGGGAGGCAGGAGAGGATCCTGGGGCCTCGAGGGTCCCTGATGACTCTGAGGACTCTGAGAGGAGGGAAGGAGTGGAGTACAAATACTTTGTTACTGTTCTTAAGTACATTTTTCTGGTATCAGTACTTTACTCCAATACTTATTTTTCTGACAACTTTTTATTTCTTACATGTTGAACACAAATACCTGTACTTTCTACTTCTCACATGTTGAACTCAAATACCTGTACTTTCTACTTCTTACATGTTGAACTCAAATACCTGTACTTTCTACTTCTCACATGTTGAACACAAATACCTGTACTTTCTACTTCTTACATGTTGAACTCAAATACCTGTACTTTCTACTTCTTACATGTTGAACTCAAATACCTGTACTTTCTACTTCTTACATGTTGAACTCAAATACCTGTACTTTCTACTTCTTACATGTTGAACCCAAATACCTGTACTTTCTACTTCTTACATGTTGAACTCAAATACCTGTACTTTCTACTTCTCACATGTTGAACACAAATACCTGTACTTTCTACTTCTTACATGTTGAACTCAAATACCTGTACTTTCTACTTCTTACATGTTGAACACTAATACCTGTACTTTCTACTTCTTACATGTTGAACACAAATACCTGTACTTTCTACTTCTTACATGTTGAACTCAAATACCTGTACTTTCTACTTCTTACATGTTGAACTCAAATACCTGTACTTTCTACTTCTTACATGTTGAACCCAAATACCTGTACTTTCTACTTCTTACATGTTGAACACAAATACCTGTACTTTCTACTTCTTACATGTTGAACCCAAATACCTGTACTTTCTACTTCTTACATGTTGAACCCAAATACCTGTACTTTCTACTTCTTACATGTTGAACACAAATACCTGTACTTTCTACTTCTTACATGTTGAACCCAAATACCTGTACTTTCTACTTCTTACATGTTGAACTCAAATACCTGTACTTTCTACTTCTTACATGTTGAACCCAAATACCTGTACTTTCTACTTCTTACATGTTGAACTCAAATACCTGTACTTTCTACTTCTTACATGTTGAACTCAAATACTTGTACTTTCTACTTCTTACATGTTGAACTCAAATACCTGTACTTTCTACTTCTTACATGTTGAACACAAATACCTGAACTTTCTACTTCTCACATGTTGAACTCAAATACCTGTACTTTCTACTTCTTACATGTTGAACTCAAATACCTGTACTTTCTACTTCTCACATGTTGAACTCAAATACCTGTACTTTCTACTTCTCACATGTTGAACTCAAATACCTGTACTTTCTACTTCTTACATGTTGAACTCAAATACCTGTACTTTCTACTTCTTACATGTTGAACACAAATACCTGTACTTTCTACTTCTTACATGTTGAACTCAAATACCTGTACTTTCTACTTCTCACATGTTGAACTCAAATACCTGTACTTTCTACTTCTTACATGTTGAACTCAAATACCTCTACTTTCTACTTCTTACATGTTGAACTCAAATACCTGTACTTTCTACTTCTTACATGTTGAACTCAAATACCTGTACTTTCTACTTCTCACATTTTCCAAACAGGCTGGTTCCTTTAGTTTGAATGTGATGATGGTTTAGTCCTAATATCGATGATTTGAAATGATATGGTGCAGATGATTGGCCCTCACCTGTCTGTTGAAGGCACTCCAGGTGTCTCTTCCAGTGCCCGCTGATCTCTCTCACCAGGGCCTCGCTGTTGGGGGCCTCGCTGTGCAGGTGCTGCAGCCTTTCCTCCAGGGTGTGTGAGGCCTCCAGCACCGGAGCTGGATCTGTGAACACACACACACACACACACACACACACACACACACACACACACACACACACACACACACACACACACACACACACACACACACACACACACACACACACACACACACACACACACACACACACACACACACACACACACACACACACACACACACACACACACACACACACACACACACACACACACACACACACACACACACACACACACATCTTAGTAAAACAACTCCTAACAACCACATGCTACTTTCAACAAAAGAGAGAAGCAAAATGGCTGTTTTTTACTGTGTGTAAAAGAGCTTCCTGCAGAGACACTCTATTCCTCCGAGGCACCGCTTCTGACTTTCTTCACTCCTTTGAAGTGTTCACAGGCTAGACCTAATGACACGAGCCTTCACATGTTCACAATCACCTCTAATGAGTCTGCTCACGTGCCGATGAATGGCAAAAGAGGACACAAAGAGTGCCATAAATACGTGTCGCTGTCTTAAATCCCAAGTATGCACCTTGGCAAAGTGCAGAGAAAGTGTGCTCCTGAAAAGGAAGGGAAGAAGATTCTTTAGCACAACAGAGGAGCTGTTTTGCAATGCGTGCGCGGCAGCACCGGGCCCATGGGGCCAACTAGGAGGCTGTTTCTCAGCTAACAAGTCTCCTCTGTATCATTTGATCATTTAAATTATTATGCCAGGAATTCTCAGGAGGCAGCTCGGCACGCCACATCACAGAGCTGTTTTTAATCTTCCCCTTCCCTTTCTTCCCCTCCCCAAAAGTTCAACAGCTCAGAGAGAGAGAGCTGCTCCTGTTGTGTACCTGCCTGCTGAACACCAAAGGAGGTGACTTCTAGTGCCAAAGCACAGAGAGGGAAGCTCAGGGGAGCTCCTTGACGAGGGGGGAGGCACACGCACACACACACACACACACACACACACACACACACACACACACACACACACACACACACACACACCACACACACACACACACACACACACACACACACACACACAGCCCTTCAAAACTCTAAAAGAGGAGGAAAATCGCTGCTTTGCTGCACAAACTTTTTCTCCCACAGCTTTCATCGACTCATCTTAAGACTTCTGAGTGGAAACCCAATTGGATCCCCTCTCCTCAGTACGGGCACCGACTGAAGTGACTTTTCATAAGAAGTTGGAGCTGCAGACGTTTAAACTTTGCCACAGAGAGAAAGAAAACTCCAAAATACAAACCATCAGACGGGGCGAAAAAACGTCTGCAATTTGTTGAAATCCTGGCCGAGCGTTGCAGCGCCACACATCTGCATTTTCATCACACAAACATTTTGAGGAGCCGTTTAATTGATTTTTTTTCCCCAGGAACGTTTACAGTGTGCGCTCATTGTTACAGCAGCTGTGGAGATGTTGCATCAGTCACGAGGGACATCGCTATTAAGAGCAGAGCGCTTCTAAGACAAACAAGATGACTTAAAGCGGCGCTCCTGCATCGACCCACCGTCACAGAAATCACTTTATCAGCCTCTTTCCATATCCTTTCAACTCTTAATGATCAAAGGACAGAGATTATAGTAAGGGATCTCTCACACACGGACAAACCCGGATTATCAATCAGTGGCAGGGGAGTAACGGAAAGTCAAATTTAAAGTGAGGGGATATAACTTAAGACTGTATACAAAATTAACCCCCGTCAGAGTGGAGCAGCGGCGGACTCTCAGCGGGCCGAGGATCTACTGTTACTGCAGGAAAGACTGCGGATAACTTTGGAAAACTAAAGCTAATTGATGCAGCTAATACTGGAGCTTCTTTAAGAGCAGCTCTGGAGGTAAACCCAGCAAATACACCCTGCGAGAGAAGAGACATTCGACATTAACCTGCTGTTAATCTGGAAATAACACCGCACATTTCCATTTAATGCTACTCTATACTTCTAATATACTACTTTTTTAGAGGGGAATATTGTATTTTCCTTCATATTTAGGCATAAATCTAACAGTTTTAGACACAAAAAGATGAAATCATCCAATATATGAATAAAGACTTAAGATAGAAACTCCTAAAATCTGTAAAATGCAACTTGATGCAACATTACTAACATTCTAATAAAGTAAACACTAAGGATAACAACCATAAGAACACAGACAGGAAGTCAACACTAAAGGGAACAGCAGAAGAAGAGAGACAGGAAGTCAACACTAAAGGGAACAGCAGAAGAAGACAGACAGGAAGTAAACACTAAAGGGAACAGCAGAAGAAGACAGGCAGGAAGTCAACACTAAAGGGAACAGCAGAAGAAGAGAGACAGGACGTAAACACTAAAGGGAACAGCAGAAGAAGAGAGACAGGAAGTCAACACTAAAGGGAACAGCAGAAGAAGACAGACAGGAAGTAAACACTAAAGGGAACAGCAGAAGAAGACAGGCAGGAAGTCAACACTAAAGGGAACAGCAGAAGAAGAGAGGCAGGACGTAAACACTAAAGGGAACAGCAGAAGAAGAGAGACAGGAAGTCAACACTAAAGGGAACAGCAGAAGAAGACAGACAGGAAGTCAACACTAAAGGGAACAGCAGAAGAAGAGAGGCAGGAAGTAAACACTAAAGGGAACAGCAGAAGAAGACAGACAGGAAGTAAACACTAAAGGGAACAGCAGAAGAAGACAGACAGGAAGTAAACACTAAAGGGAACAGCAGAAGAAGAGAGACAGGAAGTCAACACTAAAGGGAACAGCAGAAGAAGACAGGCAGGAAGTAAACACTAAAGGGAACAGCAGAAGAAGACAGGCAGGAAGTAAACACTAAAGGGAACAGCAGAAGAAGACAGGCAGGAAGTAAACACTAAAGGGAACAGCAGAAGAAGACAGGCAGGAAGTAAACACTAAAGGGAACAGCAGAAGAAGACAGGCAGGAAGTAAACACTAAAGGGAACAGCAGAAGAAGAGAGGCAGGACGTAAACACTAAAGGGAACAGCAGAAGAAGAGAGGCAGGACGTAAACACTAAAGGGAACAGTAGAAGGAGACAGACAGGAAGTCAACATGAAAGGGAACAGCAGAAGAAGAGAGGCAGGAAGTAAACACTAAAGGGAACAGCAGAAGAAGAGAGACAGGAAGTAAACACTAAAGGGAACAGCAGAAGACAGACAGGAAGTCATGGAAACAGAAGAAGAAGATGGACAGGAAGTAAACACTAAAGGGAACAGCAGAAGACAGACAGGAAGTCATGGAAACAGAAGAAGAAGATGGACAGGAAGTAAACACTAAAGGGAACAGCAGAAGACAGACAGGAAGTCATGGAAACAGAAGAAGAAGACAGTCAGGAAGTAAACACTAAAGGGAACAGCAAAAGAAGACAGACAGGAAGTTAAACACTAAAGGGAATAGCAGAAGAAGACAGACAGGAAGTAAACACTAAAGGGAACAGCAGAAGAAGACAGACAGGAAGTAAACACTAAAGGGAACAGCAGAAGAAGACAGACAGGAAGTAAACACTAAAGGGAACAGCAGAAGAAGACAGACAGGAAGTAAACACTAAAGGGAACAGCAGAAGACAGACAGGAAGTCATGGAAACAGAAGAAGAAGACAGACAGGAAGTAAACACTAAAGGGAACAGCAGAAGAAGACAGACAGGAAGTAAACACTAAAGGGAACAGCAGAAGAAGACAGGCAGGAAGTAAACACTAAAGGGAACAGCAGAAGAAGACAGGCAGGAAGTCAACACTAAAGGGAACAGCAGAAGAAGAGAGGCAGGACGTAAACACTAAAGGGAACAGCAGAAGAAGAGAGACAGGAAGTCAACACTAAAGGGAACAGCAGAAGAAGACAGACAGGAAGTCAACACTAAAGGGAACAGCAGAAAAAGAGAGGCAGGAAGTAAACACTAAAGGGAACAGCAGAAGAAGACAGACAGGAAGTAAACACTAAAGGGAACAGCAGAAGAAGACAGACAGGAAGTAAACACTAAAGGGAACAGCAGAAGAAGAGAGACAGGAAGTCAACACTAAAGGGAACAGCAGAAGAAGACAGGCAGGAAGTAAACACTAAAGGGAACAGCAGAAGAAGACAGGCAGGAAGTAAACACTAAAGGGAACAGCAGAAGAAGACAGGCAGGAAGTAAACACTAAAGGGAACAGCAGAAGAAGACATGCAGGAAGTAAACACTAAAGGGAACAGCAGAAGAAGACAGGCAGGAAGTAAACACTAAAGGGAACAGCAGAAGAAGAGAGGCAGGACGTAAACACTAAAGGGAACAGCAGAAGAAGAGAGGCAGGACGTAAACACTAAAGGGAACAGTAGAAGGAGACAGACAGGAAGTCAACATGAAAGGGAACAGCAGAAGAAGAGAGGCAGGAAGTAAACACTAAAGGGAACAGCAGAAGAAGAGAGACAGGAAGTAAACACTAAAGGGAACAGCAGAAGACAGACAGGAAGTCATGGAAACAGAAGAAGAAGATGGACAGGAAGTAAACACTAAAGGGAACAGCAGAAGACAGACAGGAAGTCATGGAAACAGAAGAAGAAGATGGACAGGAAGTAAACACTAAAGGGAACAGCAGAAGACAGACAGGAAGTCATGGAAACAGAAGAAGAAGACAGTCAGGAAGTAAACACTAAAGGGAACAGCAAAAGAAGACAGACAGGAAGTTAAACACTAAAGGGAACAGCAGAAGAAGACAGACAGGAAGTAAACACTAAAGGGAACAGCAGAAGAAGACAGACAGGAAGTAAACACTAAAGGGAACAGCAGAATAAGACAGACAGGAAGTAAACACTAAAGGGAACAGCAGAAGAAGACAGACAGGAAGTAAACACTAAAGGGAACAGCAGAAGACAGACAGGAAGTCATGGAAACAGAAGAAGAAGACAGACAGGAAGTAAACACTAAAGGGAACAGCAGAAGAAGACAGACAGGAAGTAAACACTAAAGGGAACAGCAGAAGACAGACAGGAAGTAAACACATGGAAACAGAAGAAGAAGATGGACAGGAAGTAACGGAAAGGGCTCTG